ACCTATACATGATGCCAAGGCTCTTGGAAATTTTGGTTTCGAGTTCGTTTACATGGGTTTTCCATGACAAACAACTGTCAATATGAATACCAAGGAATTTGGCGGATTTAACAGAGGGTATTTCGTGGCCATCAATTTGGATCTTATAGGCTGAAGTGTCAATGGTTTTTAGTTTAGAAGGAGTCCCAAACAGGATGAAGCTACACTTTCTTTGATTCAGGGATAATTTGTTTGCAGCAAAATATTGTGAAATGGGAATGAGATTAGAATTAATAGTATCAAATAAAGTTTGGATATTATGATGAGAATAAAAAACGGTAGTATCATCGGCATAAAAGAAAAAATAAAGAATTTTGTATGATAAATAAAGATCGTTAATATATAATAAAAAGAAGAGGTCCAAGTAGGGAACCTTGGGGGACCCCACATGTAATTGATCTGAAATTGGATACCGTATTGAGTTGGAATACTTGGTACATTGTGCACGGTCAGAAAGATAACTTTTATCTGTGCGCGGGTCCACGGATTCCATAGTGGGATAATTTATACAAAATAATGCTGTGGTCAATGGTATCGAAAGCCTTAGAAAGATCGATGAAAATTCGAATGTGTGTTAAGCGAATACACTCATAGCAAAGGCTTCTTATATAACGAAATCAACATATCTATTGAAGGTTATATCTCTCATAATTTGCACTACATTGATCACATTCTCAGAACGTTGCCCCTTATATATTTTAATGCTTTCCCATGGATGTTCAACGAACTACCTCCATCTGTGGAGATTTTTAAAATTCTTAAAAGTCACCTTTCCTTCTGTTTTTTTCTGTGTTTCAATAGCATTAACTCATGTTATTACATTTTAGTCCATCATATAAACACCCTTATTTCAAAAAAGATTAATGTTAAGGTTATTCATAATGTTAAATAAAACAGGAAACAATGCTCCACGTTGCCTAACTCCATAAAAAACGCTAAACTTTCTTGGAATAGTGGATCCCCATTTAACCGGAGATGTTTGTTTACTATCATTTCACGTAAGATCAATAATACTAATGGAATATTCCTCTTGATTAATGTAGCATACAATGTCCAATATTTACCTCGGTCGAAAGCTAAAAACTAAGCCTAAACTGGTCTACCATTCCGTTGGTACGGTAATATACAATGTTAAAAATCAATGGTACTGCTACGGGCACAGTTCTTTTCCCTGGTCATTGGGTCCACATGCTAAGTGCTGCTGCTGGTAATCAGCGCAGGAGCAGGCAACCCTACCAGGTACTTCTGGGTGGAGAGAAGCAATGCAGATAAAGTGTCTTGCTCAAGGACACAAGCGAAATGCACAGCGAGGGATTGAAACCCCGACCTCGAAGTTGGGAAACCAAACCGTTCCCGCTGCGCCAAACCGCTTCCACAATGGTCCCAGAATAGAATCTCAATGAACATCCGAATTCACAGAAAGTCCATCAGACAGGCCTAAGTTAAGATTTTGATTCAGATTCAGATATATTTATTCAGATAATATTGAATGATAACAAAAACAAGTATTTGTAAAAACAGTGATGAGGAAAAAAATCAAATAATTATTGACAACCCTTTGTTGTCTATAGACATTATCCGAACATCCATTTTTTTTGTTTAAAAAGGATGATATCATGGGAAACAGATTGAAAAGCTTTGCAAAACCAGTATATATTATGGTGTTACATTGTTTTTTGTTTTTTTTAGTATCAATGGCCTTATACAGTAATAAGACTTGCCAAAGTGGACTCGCAAAAACTATTAGGCACAAAACTACTTTGGTTGGAATGAATTGAAAACTAATGAGACTTGATTGAGCTCAATTCACGAATTTGAGGAATAGCTGGAGCAAAGAAATAGATCTGGAATTGTTGATAGTAGATTTTGAACTTTTTGTGGATTGGCACAACATTGAAGCATTTTCAAGTAGGCCTATCAAATAACCCGATTGATTGAGTTTGTGCAGATATGATCTGCACAAATATCAGGGATATAATGATACATACGTTGCTATTTGAGTCAATTAGTTTGTCAAATCCTCGCTGCCCAACAAGATAGTCAGAAAGATCCTCTTCAAATCATTTAATACAATTTGCTATATTAGTGTCATTTCATATGCCGAGCACATGCATATAATAAAATTGATAATGATCAACAAAAATACGTTTTCGGTAAAACGCTGTAGAATAGATTAGTCCCATGTTTATTTTATCATCAACTTCATTATCAAATTTATTTTATTTGTCATACCTTCATGTTGCAGCCTAACCTATGCAAAATTAAAAAGTTAATGCAGGATCGACAATAACAATAAAACGCCATATTTTATACTTACAAAATCATATTATGATTGTTGATTTCTGTTATATTGTATATTTTTGTAACTAATATATTAATTATTTACATTGATTTACTTCATGTTTTTTATGTGTGTTTTTAAACAGAACTGTCTGACTCCTGTGGAAGAGTACGATCGGAACGAGTGTAGGAAGTATGATGATATTATTAAAAAATACGAGATCTTGCAACTTCTACAAAGTGAGCAATTCTGCAACCATATTATTGTGAATCACACTCTCTAGAACTGTTATTAACTGGTTATTCAATAAATAAGATACTGTACTATTATTATTATAGGCGCGCACACAGTGGTTACCATCAGTTTAGCTGACTGAGCTAAGCCGCTCTCTTATTAAATAATCATATGTAGACATAATGCCATTCAGCATGACCCACAATTAGTGTAGGAGTTTGTTTACTTAATTGTATCTCCTCATTTCATTTCATAATTTACTTATTACGCCTCAAAAACGATCCTGTGACTAGGCCTACTAAAGAAGCTTCTATCGGCGGAGCCAGAAGTCCAAACTCAGTCTAAAGCCGGGTACTCACTGCGTCCTACGACCGTCACACGACGAATCTATGAGCGCCAACGATACGACGCCATCTGCTGATTGTCGGCAGTGGCGGCGCAAGCGCGGGGCCGAGGAGGGGGATTCCCCCCCCCCCCCCCCCCCCCCCCCCAGAAAAAGGAGAAAAACCACAATTCGTAGGGGAGAAAAAAAATTATATATATTTTCTACTTAATTAGTAGACCATCTATCAATAAAATTGATTAAATAAGCCTCTGAAACCCCTAAATTGTCATTTTTTCAGGAGTTTTGCCCCTGTATCCTTTTCAACACATTTTAGCGACACCCGACCACGCCCACTTCGGGCCACGCCAGCATATTTTCCCCTAAAGATTTACATTGCCCCTTACTCATCCCCCTCCCAGATTTCAGACTCTAGCGCCGCCACTGATAGTCGGTGGCAGTCTAAACGGATCGTCATTAAAGAGGATCCGTTTGCGTGCGTGTCGTCGCGTCGCGCTCTTCATAGAACCGCGTTGGCTTACGACCGTCGGGCCGTTTTGCCGTTTGAGTAACTGCAAGAAGGTCTTGTCTTGCTATCTTTATCAACTCTTCTAAAGTGCTTGAATGTAGTACACTTAGAACCTTCTAAATTGATGCATTATTTTACACATATTTTGGTATAAGAAAATTATACTAAATTATTTATGAAAACATAAAAAGCGGAGATAACTTTACACCATTAAAGTGTACTGTGTACACAATGTTAAAGGCACAGTTGCAATATAGATGTAGGCCTATACACAAAATAACAATGTAAATATACATAATCCTGATACGAATTGATATGTACGAATACTTCTCTTATGTATATCTTCATACTTTTTTGTTTAAACAATATCATATATTGCCAGTGACGCATGTAAGTTATATCGTGTTAGCTGTAACTATTTTACCACCATTAAAGCTTTGTTCTGTTATTTTGCATATTCAGTTGTTCCGTCTTTTGTTCATTATTTAAAAAAAAAAATAATAGTAAATGTTTTCTCTTTTAGGTGACGTAGTTCCTGGAATAATTCTTTCAGGAGGTGCAGAAGCTGTAAAGGTTTTTAATGAAGAGTTAGAAACGGGAGAAATCACAGTAAACCATGCACGATTAATGATGACTGGTAAAAATGGTGTGGGGAAGTCGTGTCTCGTTAACACACTTCTTGATAAACGGTAAGTTTTTGATGTAAGCCTGTATCTCTCTTTAATTGTGTTTTCTAATTATTTCCTGAATTTATCTCCTTTTTAATTCATGTAGGCCTATTATTTTTATCAGTGTTTAGAGTAATTGGGAATCGTGTCGAAAATGTATCAGTTGATTGTTAAAAATAATGTATTCTGTTTTACAAATCTTTGTTTCACTTCAAGATTATTGTTAGTTTGTTATTTTTGTTTAATTAATTAATTAATTAATTTTTTTTTTTTACAGATTTAATGAGGAGGAACAATCAACCGACGGCATAGTATTGACCACTGCTTTTCAAACCACGGACAATGAGTGTAGTAAATGGAAAGAGCAGAATGTGGATGGTATGACTACATACTTTGTTATGTCTTACATTGATTTTCGCGCCGCACCTTTAGGCAGTAACGATCAAGAGGAAATAGTAATTAAGAAAATGTAGGTAGCGGTAGCTTTTACTACGAAGAAATAGGAATTCCAAACTAAGCAGTGCGCATGCGCAGTTACCAAATCTCGTCCGTAAATTATTTATTAAAAAAACACAGTGACCATGCGCTTGGAAATGCTAGACAGCCAGTAAGCATGTGCATTGAAAAAGTGACGTTAAATAGCCATGTCGAGCATTTAATAGCCATTACCAAAAAGAGGTCTCAGGAACCAAATAGCGGCTGCGAAGACGTCTTAAGAACCAAATAGCGGCTGCGAAGAGGGTATGATTACTAACAAATCGTCTTAGGAACCAAACAGCGGCTGCGAAGAGGGTATGAAATAAAAACGGGAAAACTATATACAATATAATAAGAACTCGAGAGGGTCGAAATCCTCTATTTTGGCTATCTTGAAGCCAATTCATCATGATTGTGTTCGTCCTAGGTAATTGTAATTAAATTACGCAAAAAAATTAAAATTATTAGGCGCTATCGCCGTCCCTACGTACGTAGACCTATGCATTGACAATCCCATAAAAAATAACCACAGAAGCTGACGACACAACCTAGGGCCTACCACTAGCCAAGTAGTAAAGCCAGGGTATTCCACATTTAATGTCGAAAAATACGGTCGGTTCGTGCGGGTAACGAAAAAAGACAATCAAATCAGTAGTAAAGAATAGAGCGCGTACTAAGACGCGCAACGAAAACGTTCTACGAACCGAATTCGGATTCGGTGTGAATCTACCCAAAGATACTAGAAATACAAGCAGCAATGTATTCGATGTTCGAAATACGCAGAGATGTGTGTGTGTACCATCCAAGATGGCTGCCATAGATTCAGCCAATCAAATTTCCCCTGAGCGCTATCTTTTTCAATTGCGCCCAGAAAGTTTAGTACAGCTAGTTACCCGTATTTTGAAACTCGAGCGTTGCGGTGTATGGGTGTTATGTACACGATTTTAATTATTTTTAATATTTGAATAAGATTCTCTACTTGGCCTCTTTTTGGCTACGACAGTTTAATAATTTGTCATTATCAATACTAATTATCATTAATGAAATAATATTCAGTCAGAGGGCTTATTTATGGTAATAATATGTATACTAAGCCTGAAAGCGGCGCTTTCCTACGGCAGCCATCTTGGATGGTACACATACACAACTCTGCATTGC